ACCCACCCAACTCATGATAGTTTACTTCTGTTCTAATTGGATTTTATTTTCGATAGCGAACAATATTGCACTGGTGATTCTAGTAGCAGATAAAGTTGGTTGAAATAAAATGACATAGATGGCATATTTTGCTCTTATTAAGGGCGTATCCCATAAAATAACACCAATGGGCATATGTACAAGGCCGTGCTCTTCCCTTTGTTTTCCTGCTATCAAATCTTTCAGGTTGTAGTCATTTCATCAAATTAAAATTGGTAAGTAAATATCTGTCAGCAACCCACGGTAGACACAGTTTATTGATTGAACAGACTGACGGAGCAGGAAATCATGACTACTCCCAGATAGGTCATTCAATGATGGGACAATAATGAGCTCACTTCTGATCAGTGCACAGCCACAAGCATAAAAGGGGAACCATTAGGTAATCATAGTCACAGTGACAAGTCCAGGAGTGACTTCTCAGAAATGAAAGCAGTCCCTTCCTCTGCCTCCTCCTCAGAACGGGTGTGCCTGGGCTTTGAGTGAACTGAGTTCACTCCGGCCCAAGCAAAACTGTCAGTGACACATCCACCTCCCATCCTAATCTGATGCGGCCGGGGCATTCCCTGCTCCACAGCTACACGTAACAAAGAGGCGGAGAATGCCCTGGCAGCGGCTGATAGGGTTGGGAACGGGTGTGACTGATAGTTTTGCACAGGTTCAGAGGAACTGGAGCAAACTCGGTTTGCACTTAGTCCACCCACATCCCTATTTATTAGGTAGTGCAAAGGCAGATATAGAAAGGTCAGAGGGAGCCGCTGAGGAGGCAGAAAAGAGGGCCAGTTTGCAAGCCCTGCAGTCTGAAGCCTCAAGGATGTCAGCCATTTTCCTCATAAAATCAGCCATAAGAGCTGTACATTTCTTTCTAAACCATACGTCAGAGCAGGGTGCTCTAGAGCAGGGGTCAGCAACCTGCGGCTCCGAGGCCGCATGTGGCTCTTTCATCCCTCTGCTGCGGCTCCCTGTCCAGGGGCGGAACTACCCCTGGGGCCTCGGGGCCTGAGGCTGTGGGGGGGCCCAGTGAGGTCTGGTCGTGGACACCCCCCCCCCTGGTGGAATATTCGGCAGTGCAGGGTCCTGGTGCACCGCACTGCCGACGGTCTTCTCAGTTAGGGGGCGGGTCTTGTGACTCACCTCCTCTCCCGGCCGCGTCCCTAGTAACAGGCGGCGGGAGAGGAGAAGTGTGTGTCACATGCCCCGCCGCCTGCAGTGCACACCGTCTGGCTGGGATGCTGGCTGTGAGGCTTGGCAGGTGAGCCGAATGAGGAGCAGAGGGGAAGTGCGTTACTAAGCCCAGAGTCCAGTGTGTTACTAAGCCCAGAGTCCAGTGCGTTACTAAGCCCAGAGTCCAGTGCGTTACTAAGCCCACGTATGCCTATACATAGCATAAAGGTAAAAAACGATACATGCCGTGTTATCTTCATTTTAGATGTCAAAAGGGTTTTGTGGCTCCCGGTGTTTTCTTTTCTGTGGGAAATGGGTCCAAATGGCTCTTTGAGTGTTTAAGGTTGCTGACCCCTGCTCTAGAGGGATCCTGATGCAAGAAGTGAAGAGGATAGATAGCAAAGCATGAAACTGGCAGAGATGGTGTCCCAGAGGTGGTAGAACAATCAGCAGAACTGTTATCAGGTTGTGTGGCTCCTGCGCCCCCTGCCTAGGCAACTTCATGTCTATGATGCGCTTTGTGTGCCCCCAAAAACCTATGACCTGTGGGTGAGTAGGGTGCCCTGTGTCCAGACATGTGCAGGCAGAGCGTGACTCAGGTGTAGGAGTGGTGCCATGGTGCAGCATTCTCCCCTGCTGTGTCTTTGCAATGTTGCAGCAACAGCAGAAGCATGTATTCAGGCAGAGAAAGAGAAAGCGATGGGCACATGTGCAGTATGGTATCCAGGAGGGAGGCTAAGCAGGCCTGGTTCACTGCCCCTAGGCCTCAAGGGAAACTGAAAACTGGTGCCTATTTCAAAATTGTAAGCTGAAAATAATGTGCAGCATATGAGTTGCAGCAAAGCTGCATGTAGCCCTTTGGAAACTGGGGATGCTGCTTAGGCACCTGAAGGGCATGTACCGTATTTTGCAGTCCATAAGACGCACCGCACCATAGGATGCAGGGAGGTCCGGCGCGCCTTATGGAGCACTCGACAGACTGTAGCTTCTGACACAGCTTCTATGACAGAAGCTGTGTCAGAAGCTGCAGTTAGTGACCGCTGAGACAGGTGGCGCTGTGATTACAGCGCCACGGTCTCAGTGATCACACAGAGCAGACGAAGAAAGTCCGTTCTTCGTCTGCTCTATGGTGATCTCGATCGTCGCCGCTGCTCGGTTTTAATACGAGTGATCTCATTAGATCACTCGTATTGAACGAGCAGTGGCTCCTACTACTCGCCCGGCGCCCGAAACTGCATGTCTCGGGCGTCGGGATTCGCTCCATAAGACGCAGGCACTTTTCCCCCCTCCTTTTGGGGGGAAAAAAGTGCGTCTTATGGAGCGAAAAATACGGTATATGGCTTTCCGGACTTTCCTCACTTCCACAAACTTCTTTTTAATGGGTGGTATTTCCCTGGGCCAACGGCTTAGGCAAAACTTAAACTGGCTTTTTATCTGGTTTGGTAAAAAACTGTAACAGTAGGGCGTCTCGCTGTAGAAGTGATGGTAACGCTTAAAAGAAGAGTTTATGGGTCACTAGTACTAACCAGCGACCAGAAATGTGATTGTTCTATACATTTTTGTAAATTATTTGTTTAGTCACATGCTTTGCCTGAGTAAGGGGATCCTGTGAGACCCAGAAACATTGCACCAGTGTGATATGCTGCATCTACGTCAATAAATAGACAAATTTGATCTGCTTTTGGAGTGCCGGTGTGCCCGTTCCTATACATGTACATAACGGTTGCCATCCGTTGACTACCGCAGCACCCAACCAATTCCTATGGAACTAGCGGTCAGGAGTGCGATGGGTTCATGGACTCTTGGCTAGTACTAACCAGCGACCAGAAATGCGATTGTTCTATACATTTTGTAAATTATTTGTTTAGTCTTTCTACTGAATCCCTAAAACAGTGGAATCATGGACAGCGATAACAGTAGCCCTCTAAAGAGCAAGACCAGGTCAGCCTTTCTCAACCAGGGTGCTGCGGCTCATCGTGAGATTTGAAGCACATTATGGTGCTTTGGCACCGTTCATTTTGAATAGGCTGCCCTAAAGAGGAACTTTACCCCTAATTTAAAAATAACAACAAACACACCTTTAGAAAAGTTTAGTAATGACAATCTACAAACACATACTTCCAGATAATTGCCGGCTTTGTATCCTTTGCATACCTTATGTCTCTTTTCTTCCCCAGTCTTCTGACAGCGGCCATGTTTACTAAGGGTATAATGCACATCATCTCAGGGGAGGAAAATGCTTTTCCCTGAGTTCTCATGAGATTTCCCAGCAATGCTCTGCTGATGTAACCTTCCCAGGATGCAATGCTTGGGAACATTACAGAGCCAGAGAACCATACATATAGAGCACCAGGAAGTAGGAAACAAGAAGTTGTAAGTAAAATTAAAAAAAATTATTGTTTAATAAATGTAAGATTATTTTATATCAGCATGCAGAGCTGTATACTGATGTGGTTTTTAGCCAAAGGGGGTGAAGGACCACTTTAAGGCAAAAAATATACAAAATAATGTGCGTTAACCTGCATGTGTTCCCGCGCTGCAAAGATATAAGCGGGCCCTCAAAGTAAATAGGCTGTCCTAACCCAAAGCTGTATGACAACATATAAAAGAATGGGGCGGATTTATTAAAACTGCACACAGACAGAATCTGGAGCAGTTGTTCACAGCAACCAATCAGCTTCTCTCTTCAGTTTGTTCAGTTAAGCTTTGAAAATGAATGACAGAAGATGATTGGTTGCCCTCTACAGCTGCTCCAGTTCTCATAAATCCCCCACAATGAGAATTTATGAATATTGGAGCAGACAGGATCTGGAGAAGTTGCACATAGTATCAAGCAGCTTCTCTATTCAGTTAGGCTTTGTAAATAAAAGATAGAAGCTGAAAGGTTACTACGGGTAACTGCTCCAGATTCTGTCTGCTCCAGTTTTGATACATTCCCCTCCATGTGCATTAAAGGGGTTCTAAAGCCTCCCTTTTTTTGCCTATATCTACTGCTGATAAGCAGTAGATATAGGCAAAAAGTTTAAAAAAAACAAAACAAAACGCTTAAACAGCGGTTTAGACTGACCTTATTATCGCGGCGAGAGTCCGGAACTGTTCGTGCTGCCGCACAGGATCTTGGGGCGGGCGCATGCGCAGTTCGGATTCTCGGCCGGGAGACGAGCAGAGACGCAAGGTAAGCCTATGGACGCGTGCAACCGCATGCAGACACCGCTGGATCGGAAGTGCCTGTAAGCAGAGGAGTCAGCGCCGGATCGGAGAGCCACCGCACCGCTGGAGGGACAGATGAAAATATGGGGAAAGAAGAGGAAGATCAGATTAAGAGACATCATTTAAGGTAAGTGCTGACATTAAAATGGGGGGGAGGGACATTTTTTTTATCCTTTAATGTCACTTTAACGTGCACTGTCAACCATAGGTGTGAATGGACCCTATCAATGCCCATGTGCTTTGGCCTGGAGTCCATTCTACTATGCCCAGGAGCCTGCTGTGCCCCCAGTATTACTTATCATAAAGATAAAAAACATACAAAGCAAAACTTTTGGTCTGGGTTGCACGTTAGGTGAAATATAATGTATTTATTAACGTCAAGTAAAAGCACAAAAGATAAACATTTCTCCATTCAGCAGACATAGTGACAGCAGGTGACCTACTACTACATGGCAGGCACTGCAGCACGTGACCCAATGTACACAGTACTACGTTACAGGCACCGCACCACGTGGCCTTTCAGTCTATCCCACCCTCCGGTTTGCAATCTGCATTTGGATGACGTATAATTCATGCGCTCTCGTTTGGCTGTGCGTCGCATGCTGCTGACGTCCGCTCCGGTCACCTCTAGTCTGACTGTCAAAGTGGGATGTATCGAGCTCTAAGTACCGGTACACAGCGAGGGGTGAGGAAGCCGTTATAGATTGTGTCACACAGACATACATACTGTATACGTCTGATACAGAGGGGAAGGGGGGCAGCTAGACTGCTAACAGCAGCAATGTATCAAACAGGTTTTGCAACCTAGAGTGATAAAAGTATGAGGGTGTTATTACGTCGTGATTGAGCATGGGGGACATTATAATGGTGTTTACATATGTTCACCTACTGCCTATATTTATAGCTTTTATTATATGTCCTATAAAAGGTAAATGTTCTGCCTTACATTGCAGTTACTAATATTGTGGCTCATAATTGTCTTTGTTTGCAGTCTTCTGCCCTTCGCAGGCTGCTCAGCACTTTGGTGATTGCTGAACATGACACGCAGCAGCTCACCCCAATCACCCTCAATGCTATATCTGCTGCAAAGAGACTTGGAGGGGATGTGTCCTGCTTGGTGGCTGGAACCGACTGCTCCAAGGTAACTGTCTCTCATAACCAGTGCTTTCTTTTCTTGGACACATTCAGGAGCTGTTTGCATAGTTATATAATATGTGTCATTTAAGGCTGCACTAATTGTCCTGCTTGGTATCTGCATAGTTCTATAGTGGTTAAAGAGACCCTGTCACAAACTTAATAACAAAAGCTGTCACGGGTCAGCAGGAAGTGAGCAGAAACATGCCGCCGATCTGCTCACTCCCCGATCATCTCCCTGCAGGGATTTCCCCCTCCCCTCTCCGATCCCCCAACGCTGAGTGGAAGAACGAACGGGGGAGGGGCAGAGCCAGCTGTCACTCACGCAGCTGGGTGGATCTCAGCAGTATTGTGTGGATCCGCTCGGGTGCGGCGCTCTCAACGTATATAGCGGGCAAGAGCCCGCTATATACTGAGCTTTGGGTCACGGGAGGAGGTTAGTATATGTCCTCCCGTGACCCTAAAGAGAACTATGGGGAAAACCACTTACCCCACAGTTCTCTTAACTTTGATTAATCTGATAACAACATATAAAAAAATGAATGCCGTCATTTATTTAAAATAAAATACACAAATGCAGTGTTACAGACAAAGTTTATTTCAGAATAAAACAGTATGCACATTTTTTGAAATCGCCCTGCACTGGAATACAGGGCATTGCAGTGCGGGCAATCACACTGCGGACGGGAGGTGCATTTGGTATCCATTGAAATGAATTGCAACGCACCTCCTTCAGCAAAATTTGTCAGGCCGGAACTAAAAATGACTTTGTGTGTTCATAGTTCTCCTTTTAGGCTGGGTTCCCACCTAGGTGATCTAAATATGTGCGTAAGACGCACGTTTTTACCTCCTATTTGCGGTCCACGAAACGCGCATCAAACACACGTTTACGAGGGCTATCCGGCTGCATCCTAATACGCGCGGAAATACGCCCCAAAGCTCCTGTACTTCTTTGGGCGTAGGACGTTTTTTAGTGCGTTCCGACGCGCTGAAATACGCCCAGGTGGGAACCATGCCCATAGGAAATAATGGGATTTCACTTGCTGAGCGTTTTACAGCGAGTCGATCAGCGCTGTAAAGCGCCCAGGTGTGAACCCGGCCTTAATGGCTATAAAATTATTGCTCTCACTCCGACGTTTGCGGCGATATCTAACGTGCAGCACAATAGGCGCAATCGTCTTCGCACTTAGGCTCACCCGACGCATATCTGTGTGTATGTGGGGGGCGGGGACTTACATTGAAGTGATGCAATCTACATCACTTCCTGCATTCGGGGACTGAGAGGAGATCAAAGGGAGTTCGAATACTGAACTCCCTTTGATCTCCTGTCACAGAGCCGTGGCGGTCCTGGCCGCATTGGGCACAGTGGATCTCGGGACCGGCAGTGACAGCTGCTAATACAAGCGATTGAGCGTGCTGTTGCACCCGTCCACTGCTTGCTGTCAATCTGCAGAGGAGAGACCTGAAGGAGAAAGTTCTCCTTGAGGTCCGCAAGGGAATCTGTATTTTCAGAAGAAAGAGTCAGTAGTGGCATCTACCATGTTTTCTTTCAGCAGTCCTGGGAATGGTGCATTTACCTGTACCCAGAAGAGGTAATGTGGTGCCATCTGTTGTGTCCCTCTGTATTCTTACATGAAAACTAGAGTGATCTCTTATTTAACATTGTTTTATTACATTTCTAGGTAGCAGAGCAGTTATCAAAGGTTGAAGGAGTTTCCAAGATCTTTGTAGCCCAGCATGATGCATATAAAGGTTTTCTACCAGGTGATAATTAGATTTCCTATGCAGTGCAAATGCTGCAAAATGATTGTGCCCTTTTATATTTCTCACTTTCTTTCATCTATGGTTTTCCATGCATCAAGTCTTTGGCAGTTTCTACTGTCTGTGGCTTTGATTGGGCATAGGTAGTGTTGGAGGAATTATACATGTCTGGAACGTGAAGAGATATATTGTTTCGTTCTACTGCCTGTCAGTCAGCAGGAGGTGGAAGTACTCAGTGCTAAATTATTATTATACAGGATTTATATAGCACCGACAGTTTGCGCAGCGCTTTACAATATAAGTAAGACATTACAATTACAATACAATTCAAGACAAGATGGTTAGGAGGGACTTGCTTGAGACAGCTTATAATCTAAAAGGGAGGGGCAAGTGATATATGAGGAGGTAGCTGTGTGGGGATGAATTGTATGAGAAAGTAATGGTTAATCAGTTAGGAAAAGGCGGGGTATGCTTCCCTGAAGAGATAAGTTTTCAGGGGTCGTCTAAAGGCAGACAGAGTAGGAGATAAGTGGACAGGTTGGGGTAGGGAGTTCCAGAGAATGGGAGAGACTCTAGAGAAACCCTATTGTCTTAAAGGGAAAATAATGTTGTTCTCTTTGTTATTAAATATTATATAGAGATATATAATATATTATATTAATATATTAAATAGAGAGATGTTTTAGTTTAGTGATTTAGAGGAAGAACACACAAAGTTTTGTATTTGCTCTGTGTCCCTTATTTGTTGAACTTTGTTACATCTCTCCATCTCCTGGGATTTCCGTGTGTTGTTCTTCAGCATTTACTGTTGTATTTTTGCAGTTCTAAAAGCTTTTAGTCATTTAACACGTTTTATAGAATCCATGATTAAAACAAAGTGTTTTTTGTTAGAGGAGCTGACGCCTTTGATTCTGGAAGCACAGAAACAGTTTAAATTTACCCACATATGTGCTGGAGCATCAGCATTTGGAAAGGTGAGTGTACCTCTGACACGGCTGGACATAGATGTTGTGTTGAAGTGTTTTCATCGAGGTGGAATACGTGTGTAAACTTTTGTATAAGAGCATTAGCCTGTTGACCTAAACTGTCATTAAACACAAACTTTCCATGTCTTTATAAATATGATGTGTATCTGCCGCTGCACCATTTCATCATTACGGTACATATACGGAATTCCTGGTTGATCCTGCAGTTTCCTCTGGCTTCATTCTTATCAGTGGCACAAGTATTGATCCTCTGGCTGTTTCGTTGCACCTACACCCCTTTTCTTCACATAAGACTCTGTACTTCCTCTTCATCACTGAAAGCCACCCCACATGACAAGCACACACAACGACGGCTCTTTCTCTTCCCTGCCTTATGTCCCATGTGATTACGATGTCCGCTTGCACGGTGGCTTCGGCAGGGATGATTTCATTGCCGCTTCTTCTTCCTTGCTGGCCACCCTATGTTATACACACACACATGCACGCAGGGCTTGAGGGGCAAGTTTTTGGTATCGTGACTGCAATGAGCCAATGGGCGCCGTGCAATCCAGTGTAAATCTAACATACTTCCTGGAGTGATGTCGAATCTTGCATTGGCTGATACGTTGCAGCCTTCCTGCTGGCTCCTCCCCCATCGCACTCAGTGTAGTTAGGAAATCAATTAAAGCGTCACATGATCGTTGTGTATGGTGATACTAATGCAGTATTTGAGATAACTATTTGCAACTGTACTATAGTGCACTATAGAGGAAAGATGTATAGATGTGTTCATGGGTTTATTGACGCTTTAACTAAAGCCAATATAGGCTTGTATTCCAGTTCCATGCTTCCATTACAATAATTGTGTTGTGAATTTGTTATTTTAATAATATTTCTCAAAGGTGAATGTAATTAACACTACCTATATGTATTTTTCCTGTTTTTGTTTCCTTTACAGGGTTTACTGCCAAGAGTAGCTGCAAAGCTTGATGTAGCCCCAGTATCTGATGTTATTGACATCAAGTCTCCAGATACATTTGTGAGGACAATATATGCCGGTGAGCAGACCTGTATGATTTGTTTGATTCTGCTGTTTGCCATTGAAAAATAGCAACTATTTACTGGCTTCATGGTGTGTGTGTGTGTTTATGTGTAAAGTGCAGGTATCATGGAAATGAAGGCACCTCCAGCAGGGGTCTGCATGCAACATCAGTTTTCCTATTGTGTCCTGTAGTACTCCCAGCGCTTCAGCACTTTGGTATTCTGATTTATGCCTTGTCTCTGCTCTTGTTGTCTTTACTTTGCTATTGCCTCATCAGTGTAATGAGCCTTCACACTGGCTATTTGTAAGGCAAAGAACCAGGCCAGGCGGTCCACCATTAGAGCTAACCAATGATTGGCATACCAAAGTGTTTCAGGAGTATTGGGGCACACAGTAGGGAGGTTTGTCCCAGGCATGTTTAAATTCAATTACTGTACGACTGACTTGCCGCCTCTGCTGGAGGTCTGTTCCCAGCATCTACTACTCTCTTTCAGTAAAAACAAAAAAATTTAGTTTCCCCATGTTCTTGTGCTTAGCTTCATATTGGAAGTACTGCCTTTCTTAACCAAATCATTCTGTGAGGAGGAGTAGATGGCATGGCTTGTGTGAGAAGCAGAGCTCTCCTGTTGCAGTGCTGGAAATAGAGCAAAGGCTATACTTCTTAGCAAAAACAGTTAAAGAACAGGCGGTGATCATGGAGGTGGCATACACCTCATTACTGTTAACTATTTGTTACCCAGCACATTTTTAAGATTTTTATTTTCTGGAGTTCTTTTCAATGCAGTGCACCCCAACATGCATGGGAGGTATACTGTATTTATAAAGCAATGAATGCGACATTCATTGCTCATGCCTCAACAGGGACAGAGCATTATATCAATTATTGTTTTTTTGCTAGAATGGGTTTATCAGGCAAATTTGCATTCACTTCCTGTCTTTGTGTCAGAACTGGAAGTGAACAGAAATTTCCTTAAATAGACCTGGACAAGATTTAAAAGCTAACAGAGGTTCCAGCCCTTCCTGTTGTTGGCAGTGGTTGGGTTTTAAAGGAGAACTATGGGGCTAAGGCTTTTCCCCATAGTTCTCCTTAGGGTAACGGGAGGACACAAACTAGCATCCTCCCATCACCCTAGGCTCAGTATACCACAAGCTGTAGCTCGCGGTATCCTGAGACGCCACAGTATACCGACAGCTGCTGCTCGCGGTATGCTGAGACGCCGCAGCTGAAACGGATCCCGACAATTGTGCCGGGATCCGCCCAGCTATCTAGAGGCAGAGCCAGCTGTACCTGCCCCTCCCCCGTCCGTTCCGCCAGTCAGCGCTGGCGGATCGGGGAGGGGGAATCCAGCCCCTCCCCTGTCACGGCAGAGAGCCGTGACAGTATCGAGAGGTGAGCGAACGCCGGTATGTGTTCGCTCACCTCCCGATCTACTGAGCCGACCTGTGACAGTCTCATTGTCACAGGTCGGCTAGAACTATGAGGTGAGTGAAAAGCACTCACCTCATAGTTCTCCTTTTAAGTAAAAGAAAAGCCCAAGCTTGAATCCTGATGGCAGTATTTTGTAAGGTTTAGGGTTTCATGTTTAGTTTCTCTTCTGCTGTGCTATTCACTTTTGTTTGTCAAGTTGTACGTGTTGTATAATATAGTGCAATGATGAGACTGTATGCACGCCAATAGCTTTTACAAAATGAAATGTCAATATTTTTGCATGAAATGCTTATGATCTAGCGACTTGAATCTGAAGTGAAAATATTACTTGTGTGAATGTTCAGAAATTCATATTGTATACCCTTTTTTTTTTTTTTCTTTTTTATTCAGTCCATCTGTATGTTCCCTCACCCCTCTTAGAGAGACTCTTTACACAGAGTAATATCAAATGTTGTCTGCTCCACATGCTCTGTTAAATATTAATAATTCCTGCTGTTCTGAGAGCTCGTCACTACAACATGCAATCCGTGTCCTTGGGATGAGAAATCCCAGTGGGAAGACACAACAGAGTATCCACCTCCACCAGTCATGTCCCAAGTGTAATGCTTAGGCCTGGTTGGGGCAGCTGTCACACAAATGGCGCAAGTCCTGTTTGTCAGGTGGCTGAAGATCTTTACAGCTTCAAGATTTTCTGCTTTCCATGGTGCTAAGAACAGATCTTTAACAATATGACTAAAAACTTTATTTAAGGTTCTCCTGTGGTTTGTTTAATGCAGAGTTTTAACCATAAAATATGTATTATGCAGAGCATGTTGGCACATTATGGCAGATTCACCTACCAAAGCGATCCCCTCCAGTGCTTCTCCTTCCCCGGCGTTTCCATCTTCTGTTCGGTCTTCTACCTGGTTTCAAGTCTTCGGCCTCTTGATTGGCTGGATCCCAGTGATGTAACTCCCACGCATGCACACAGGAGTTACTTCATCTCGGCATGCCGGGTCTGTGCACTGAGCTGCACATGCACTGCTCAGTGTACAGGAAAACAAATTGCTGACTGGTAGAAAGAAGCTTTTAAGTCGGCAGAGACCTGCACAGTCTCTTCCACAACAATAAGCAATTATTTTTTCCGATGCTTTATTTCTACTTGAAGGAAATTTTTATACATTTATGTTCCTTGTGTTTTATTCTCTTTATCCTTCTCAGCCTTCAAGACTGTTTTTGCCTTGTGTACTTATGTATTTAGGAATTCTCTAATTCTGAAAGTTTAAGAAAAATCTCAATATTTTTTAGTGGTTTAATATGCTTCTGTTTAATACAGGCCAGCATTGTATTTTTCAGTATTGGATAGCCTATGGAAGGGTAAAAGGTTCTGGCTGGTTATGGGTAACAGGCTGTCAGAGACAACTGTTCCCACAGATATGGTGTTTCTAAGGTTTTTGGGGTTTTTATTTTTGTTTTGTTTTTATATATACTGTATATATAAAAATATATCTAAATTTTCACCCATATGCTAATAAGTGTTGCACTTATGTAATAGGAGGGTTTGGTGTTTCTCATTACAACTGGTTTCATTTGTACTGTCTTTTTTTTCTCCTTGAACTAAAGACCATACTGTGAGTTCACCTTTCCTTTTACTGTAATACGTAGGATCACACAGATAGAGATGTACACATTAGGATCTTCTTTAGTGTTTGCCAGTTTGTGGGGTTTGCCAGGAACAGCTGTAGATCCAGCAGTAGAAGATGTGGTAAATATGTGTGCACCATATGGTGCTGAGACCGAAGGCAACATGGCAGCTGGCGTGAAGATGAGATGTGGCCATTTAATGGGAGAACAAGCATTTTGGCAACACAAAGACAACCATGGAAAATGTTCCAAATGACTTCAATTCTGCAGCGAGTTAACAGCTGTTGTCAGTTGATGTACAGAATTTCCTCCCGTCGTTTTGCTATTTTCTTCATAACAGTATTGTGGGCAATGATGGTGGCACTGTGCTACAAGTTGTCTGTCCTGTCTTTGATGTAGACTACTTTGGTAAAATGGAGTGTAATTACTGTGCATCAACTGCTATTAATATGCAGTGTTCAGTTGTTTCTGCATCACTAGCTGTATTAGAACAGCTACAGAACAGAGAGAGTGAAAGACTTCTGTCCATAACACTTTAGGGCATTTTAGCATTCCTAGAGCGAGGTTTCTCAACTTTTTTTCAGCCATGGCACCCTTTAAAAGTATGCAAAATCTCAAGGCTTCCCAGTCTAAAAAATAAAAACCATAAATGTAAAAAAATGTGTGGTCCCTTTCAAAATCCATACTGACCCTTATCCATTATATGGATCTGGTATGGATTTTAAGGGGGACCACACAAAAAAAGGGGGGTTCCCCCTTCATATCATAATTCTCATCAGAATCCTCCTTTCACATCACAGTCCCCTTTGACATCAGGAGGCCGCTTCACATCAAGAGCCCCCTCTTTTCACATAGTAGTCACCTCCACTCACAGTAGGAGCCTCCCTTCACATCAAATGCATGACTTTTTGTGAAAATTAGGAGGCACCCCAGGTTGGGAGAGGCTGTCCTAGAGTATGTATTATAAATCTGAGTCATCCCCCAGGCTTTGTACAGGTATTCTTCCCAGTGTTGGGTTTTAAAAACAAAAAATACTAGAAATCATGTTACAGTATTGTACAATTTCCAAGAACCTGAGTGTTAATCTTCCTAATAACTATAGTTGTGCTATATAAATGCTGCATTATAATAATATATTTGGCGAACACTGTTTTCTCCAAGAACCTGCTCCCTAAAAAGATTGTCTATTACAAAATATTCAACTTAAAATCCCATGGTAAACGCACAAACAAGTGGGTGTAAAGGACCACTATATGCACCATGTGTGGTGGGTCTAGAGTTGGCCATATACCAGTAGAATTTTGGTAGAAAAAATAATAGTTTTTGGTGTGTTTGTTAAATTTTCTAATAATTGTGGGGGTCAAATCGCAAAATTGAAGGAGCAGGATGGAAAGTTTTTCTTAAGCAAAAAAAATTCTAACAGGGTATGTGATTTATTGTTTGGAAAACTCCATTCATTCCAAAATCCTCAAATGACACACTACAAATCTCTGATGGCATTATCAAATGACGAATTAGATTTTTTTATAGGAATGTTTTTGTACGACAGTGTACCAGTATAAGCTGACCTTTACTATAATACTGAATATTTGCTGAGCACTGCAAGTATTGGATGCTGTTCAAAGATGGATATACAGCTAAAAAAGATTGCATTGTAACTGGTAGGGATGCACCGTTATCGATACTAGTATCAGGAAGCCAGGTGGTGTAATGACTCTGCCTGGCTTCCTGATTGGCCGAGAAGCCAGACCAGAAAGCCGGCTCCATCCTCCCTCGTCACTTGGTGATGAGGGAGCATGGAGACGGCTTCCCTGCTAATAGTGAAGCCAGAGGGCAAGTCTTTACACGCTGCCTGGCTTCCTGGCTAATCAGGGAGCCAGGTGGCAACTCATTACACGCCGCCTGACTTACTTAATGGGACTTCCGGTATCGGTATTCCGTATCGGCGGGTACCGGAAAAAAAATATCAGTACTCGATATCGAAAAACAGTATCGGTGCATCCCTAGTAACTAGTGTGGAATTTATGTCAACTCAAGACAAACTGAGGTCCACACTGTAAGAGAGGCACCATATCTTTAAGGTAGTTGTAAAGTCCCAGCATGTACTATCTGTACTGTACTGTTATAACATCAACATTGTAATAGGAATACATACTATTCTAACTACAACATACTGTTACGACATGCAGGATCTGTGAGTGTTGTGACACAAGGAAGTGTATATTCAGAGGGCTGAATGGAATTGTGTCAGTGCATTGAGGAAGTACATCCTATGGGCAACTTTTATAAGTTATTTTACAACTTCTAGATTGAAATGTTTATTACGAGTGGGATAGAACTTGGAGACTCAATACAGAAGTAGATATTTATTTTTAGTTTTGGACCATAGATACCCTTAACAGGGCCCCAGGTTATTAATGTTCCTAGTAACTATAGTCGGCACCTTGAGACTTTTCCGGTGATATTAGAAACACTTATGTTTTTGTGACTCGCTCAAATGCATTGAGCGAGCCACAAAAATTGCAGCTTCAAGGCTATCTTCACTTTGTTTTAAAGGGTGATGCTAGTCACTGCAAAGCTTACCAGTAAGTAAAATAAAAGTACTTTAATATAAGCACTAAATGTATTTCTTTTTAACAAGTGTTTGTATTTGCAGTGATCAGCCTGATAGTTCCTTGCTGGCCCCCAATTACACAGTAATTGTACAGTGTAATTGAAGGGCCAGCAAAAAAGGCTTTTACAGGCCACAAATCTGAAAGAAACAGAGCGTCTTCCTTTTTTAAGGTGAAGAAATAAAAAAAAACTCCTATGTTTTCAGCTCCTATTATAGTTGCACAGCATTTCACAATACATTTTCAAGCATTTTACAAATTTTCTTTATTGGCCAGTTGAATTTGAAGTATAATTGCACAGTGTCCATAGTCATCCTATGAGGTGAGTGAAAAGCACTCACCTCATAGTTCTCCTTTAATATTTTTCTGTACAGTGTACACACACACTGAGATCTGTGGACACTTCCCCCATCTTGGTATTGGATCATTCTGCTCTTGTTTGTTTGTAAAGATTTTGTTTCCATACGGACAAAGTAATCACCTTGATTTCCTCTTTTCTGCAGGAAATGCTTTGTGTACGGTGAAAAGTGATGAGTCTGTAAAAGTCTTCTCAATCAGGGGCACATCCTTTGAACCTGCTCAGAGCTCAGGAGGAAATGCAAGCGTTGAAAATGGTAAGAAATTAGGACTTCTTGTTTTCTAGACTGTGAGATATGTTGGGAATATTATATTATTATTATAATGATAAAAATATATTATTATTAGCTATAATGATGGTTCACGCTCATCACCAGACACCCTGAACTGTGTGTGGTCACTATCTGCAAGGAGTTTGCATGTTATCCTTGTGCTTGCGTGGGTTTCCTCCGGTTACTCTGGCTTCCTCTCACACACCAAAGACATGCTGGTAGGTTAATTGGCTCCTGTCTAAATTGGCCCTTGTATGTGAGATGGGGACCTTATAGTGTAAGCTCCTTGAGGGAAGGGACTGATGTGAATGTGCACCTATGTAAAGTTGCGCAAATTGTCGGTGCTATATAAATACCAATAATAAAAAATAACTGTGTAGGATATGCTGTAAGATGCTATTTCTCTGGTTGTTTAACTAATGCTTATTATTGCATACGTAGCCATTAAATCGAATCAAATCCAAATAAAAAAGGGAATACTGAAGTTGTCTTGTGACGCAAAATATTCTTATTGCTCTAGTGTCTCCACCTCCACCTTCTGGAATATCTGAGTGGCTGCAGCAAAGTCTGACCAAAAGTGACCGTCCAGAGTTAACCAGCGCTAAAATTGTGGTCTCTGGAGGTAAGTTGGCAGTGGAAGCTTCCATATTCCTGCACTGACAGTCCGTTTGGGAGCACGTGTCACCTTTTTGATACAGTTTTTTTTATTGTTTATTTCTTTAATAATATGTTTAGTATCTGAAAAAAAAGGGGGAAAAAATATGTTTAGTATGTGCTGTGATAAAACTGTTAGTGTAACTTGGTAAAATTGGCTCTCACACTTGTATTGTCTGTGTTTTTGTACAGGTCGAGGGCTAAAGAGTGGTGATAACTTCAAGCTGTTGTATGACCTTGCAGATCAGCTGCATGCTGCAGGTAGTGTGTGTGTGTGTGTGTGTGTGTGTGTGTGTATATATTATGTATGTGTGTAAAAGTGTTTGCTCTTTTTATATCGCAAAGCCAAAGCAAAGTTATTTCTTCGGAGCAGTGTGTGCTGATACAGGAATTTCCCAGGGCATCATACCAAAACTACAAGTGCTTATTAGGGAAGGGGGAGCACATCCAGATGCAGGAAATGCCGGGCATGTTTTGAAATGTTTTTAAAACCCAACTCCAGATTACAAAATTAGGGCATAGGCATGTTTCTTCCCATCTGCAGTTCTTTTTCCTCGTCTGCTTACCTCAGTTATATGATGCAAAATAATTCTTCCCCTGAGTCAGAATTTGGTAGCACCACCTTATAGCTGCAATTACTGCTGCAAGTATTTTGGAGTGCCACATCTACATCCTACAGTTTTGGCACATTTGTTTTTGGTTTTCTTCTAGTTACTCTCTATTAAAGGAGAACTATGGGGTCAGTGTTTTTCCCCATAGTTCTTAGGGTAACGGGAGGACACAAACTAGCGTCCTCCCGTCACCCTAAGCTCAGTATACCGCAAGCTACAGCTCGCGGTATACTGAGACGCCGCAGCTGAAGCGGATCCCGACAATTATGTCTGTATCCGCACAGCTGCGTGAGTGACAGCTGGCTCTGCCTAGTAGTGTTCCAGGAGATGTTCGAAGTTTATTAATGACATAATTCTCATTGGTGCATCTCTAGAACTCACCCACCCCCTTGTTTTTATGATCTTATTCTCTATTACCTGTTATTCTTGGCTTTCACCAAAAATATATATACATTTCACCAAAAATGAATATTTTTGAAATCAAGACTTATCGGTTTTTCTTTGAAAACGAGTAGCTTTTTGACATTATGGTCATATACTTTTGTGGGATCAGTGACACAAAATCACAATTAGATCCATTTCAAGTTCTAACAAATGTGGGAAAAGTCTAAGATTGGATGAGTGCATGTGAAAAGTACCTGTATCTAAATGAACAGTTATTTCTCTAGGTACATTTTTAAGTTGAACAGTTTATAAGTAAGAAACAAATTGTAGTATTTATGGAAACCATCCTTTTGTTTGCAGTGGGTGCCTCCCGTGCTGCTGTAGATGCTGGATTTGTCCCCAATGATATGCAGGTGGGGCAGACAGGAAAAATTGTAGCACCGGTAAGTATTATTTTTTTACCTATATCAGCCTTGTGAAAAATATAACGGCTTGCATTTATCAACCTGGCTGGACACCAAGCCTGGACATGCAGGCTTAGATGTCAAACGTTGAACAAAGCAATAAAGATATTTAATAACGTATAGTTTTAACTGTCTTACAATCACAGACACACCTCCTGTATAATTCTTTTTTTTTTTTAAACTGCAGAAAAAACATATTTTGGTTGTCTTCTGGGCTTTTCTTACTGTCTGTGAACACAATGGTTAAATGCATAAGCAAACCACAGGCTCACTCTAAGGCATTACAATCTTTTCCTTTGTTTAAAGGAGGCCTCTACCAAAATCCGTTTTGTGTAGGGTGCACAGGGCAGGTGGCTTACAAAGCTCTGCTGATTCCAGTAATTGGATGCAATACCATAAACTTTCCATTCAAGCATTAGAAGTTCTCCATTTGATGTTGGTAGTGCTGACTAGAGATGAGCGAACGGGCTGAGTTTGGGTTGAGCTGGTTCACCAAACCCTGCAGGGGGTCTGCAAACCCCAAATTTGCTAGCAAACCCAACTGAAGTCTATGGGAAGCAAAACTAGATTTCTTGTTTCTGACTTTGTTTGAAAGCTAAAAGGCAAGCTATTAAGAAAAGCATGTGTACAGCGTACAGTGTCCAGCTGACACTGTACGCTGTACCAATGCAAACATATTTTTATTTTTTTAAATACTGTTCGGTAATGAGAGGGGTTTTTCTAAAAGGGCAACATTGAAAACACAAATCCTTTAAATACTATGCATGTGCTTTTACCAAACAGTATGATGTCGTCCTTTTAAAAGTAACAGTCACTTGAGTTCCTGAGATTTTAGGGGATTTAGGGAGAAAACCAGATCTTCTTCTTCTTCTTTTTTTTTTTTTTTTTCTTTTTCAGTAATATTTTGGTTTTCCACTTTATATCAATTTAGATTTTTTTAGTCTACCCTAATTTATTATACATAGTTTTTGAGACAGGCTTTAATTTGGTAGCAAATTTGGGATACATATTTTTTATTTGTTTGGTTTTATTTGGAATAAATAGTAAAAATTTGGAAAATAATTTGAATGCATTTTCCTGCAATTTTCCAATGCAATGCTTTTTATAATTTTTGCACCCTCATAAAATCACCCCAAAAGATATTCCAACGTCAGCTAACTAAAACATCGCATTAGTGCGACTGTTAAGTGATGCAGCAGAGTGGTAAAGCTTGAAGTGAATGTATGTGTTTATTTCTAGAATTTTTTTTCTTCTTTCTATCTCACTTTTTTACCTCATGGCGGGGGGAAATTGGATTTGGTCAGTGTAAACCAGATCCAGACCCCCCTTTACAGCTGTGCAGCAGTAGATTTATTTTTGAGATCTATTTCTGGCTATAATCGGCCAGCAAAAGATCAATATAGCAATGATCTGTTGCTGCAGGGAGATGCTGGACAGGGCTACAACATCTCTGCCTGTGCCTCCGTACTGGTGGCACCACTACACTCCTGATGTAAACAATATGTGAAAGCATGGTGATCTGTAGAAGTTTGGGAAAACCAGGAGGAACTGATCATTTCAGCTCCTGGGCTGGATGCCGGCTGCAGTCTTAAGTAGTTAAAAAAAAAAAAAAAAAAAGAAGTAAGAAACAAACGTCGTGCAGTTCCCCCTATTTGTTCACCTGGCATCCCAGGTTGTTTGTTTACATAAGGCAGCTGGGGATTCAGGTGGGAGAACTGGCCAGTTGGGTTAGGGATGAAGCTCACCCCTCATGCTGACATCTCACTTATACAGGAGTACCTGTGAGGGATAATGGGCATGGGAACATCATAGCATTTAGTTTAAATATTATGGCTGGAAAAACATACAAATGTACACACGCCTTATCAGACAAAGCTCAAAACTTTTGATGCAATACGTATCATTTACCGTAAACTTTCGTGTCCTACAGCATAACAGCAACTTGATTGCTTTATCCAGCGCTTGTTGCGCAGCCTCTGTGAAATGACATCACCAGTGTTTACTGCAAAGCCACTGCAGCTTGACTGCTAGATCCAGCGCTTATTACACCGCTATTGCAGCATGACTGCTTTCTGTTGTACTGCTAATATGGAACCAAGCTTATCTTGCATTAGAAGAAGGAGGAGGTATTTTCTGGATGTACACATGGAGAAGCTGATGAGACCTGAAGTTGGCTTCAACTGGCTGATGAGTGGACAGACTAATAGTCCCTCAACAGGGGGAACTCTGCTCACGGCCACACGGTGGGTAATGACATTCTGCCAGCTTCCTGATTGGCCGGGATGCTGTCTTCCCAGCCAATCAGCATTGAGCCGGCTTGCCAGCCAATCAAAAAGTCAGGTCATTACTCGCCGTCCAGCTTCCTGATTGCCCAGGAAACCCGCTCCATGTTCCCCTATGGCACTACTGGTCAGAGGAAATCTTCCTCTGACCGGAAGATCTGGTATCGGGGAAGGTATCGGAGCATTTGGGTGAGTACGATTACTCTGTATCGGCACCAATACTACTATTGGGATCGGTGCATCCCTACTATTTACCAACTGTAATTTTCTGGTGTATGATCTCTGTAGTAAGTGGCGCCGATAATGGCCAACTGCATTCTCAATATCAATGAATGGAAGAAAAATAATTTGTATTACTTGAATTGATACACTAGATTTTTATTTTTTATTTTACATGCAAAGGGTTAAAACATAAGAAAATGAGGTGCGTTTTCCAGTGTACCATTCATGAATGTAAATGCACAACACTAATGAAGGTATATCTTTGTTATGAGACTGCATCTTGCACTGTTCTGGCCGCACAGGAGTTAATAAGGATTAAAGGGGGATCCAGAACATCCTGGCCAAATTGCTTTTATGTTTAACCCCCAGGGAGCAGCACGTCAACTGCTTTCAGCTAAATGCACTGACATATGAATATTTTACAGCAATCTAATGTTTTTTCCGGCGGCCCCATAGGACTTGCAAATCAATTTGCGAATGTTGTTCTCTTGCAGTTAAAGGCTGATCTGGATAATTTGGGATGAAAGAGGCTGTCAGCCCAGAGCTTTTTAAGGGCTTAATAAGAAAGTAAAAATCACTCCCACCCGATATCCATCCCATCTACTTAAACTTTTATGTTCAGAAATGCTCCTCTCCTACTGCCGCTCCACACAGACTCGTCTGTGTGGAACTTGTATGTAATTCATTCTTATACTTGACCTGTGCTAGATTCCTCAGCTTATACTTGGCATGAGTCTGAGTAGCTTAGGTAAAAACTGAATAATGATGTGATTACACAAATCTGCCTTTTAGTTGCAATAATGATAGAAATATAATTGTACTTGTGACTTGAGGCAGATGACTTAATATACAGAATAAATACATATATTGAGATTGACATGTCTCTGCCTCACTGGCACTCTTACTTGTTTATCTGTACTGCTTCCCGGAGCATCTTCTTTCTGATCTGAAAGTGAGGAGTCCATAAAGGAAGCTATATTGCTCAACCTAGGAATGAGTGTGTCATCTGTCTGGCTGTGTAAGGGGGTAGAGGTGTGCACATCACAAGATTGAATGTACAAAATTACAAATCCTTTGTGAGGTAAAACCTGTATTTAAACTGTTTTAGCGGATTGCACGGAATTACACTTTAAATGTGATTCGTTTGAGATTATTTCACATTTCAGATACATAAATCAATGCATCATTATATCATTGTCAACGTATTTAATGTGCTTGCATGTAGAAGAGAAGAAACCAGAAATAAGTATGACATTTCATACAATGTAGAATATTTCTAATACAGCTGTGATAGTAATTTATATGCAAAAATATAGGAAACATTGCTTCCTGTCAGAGTGACAGCCAACACATGTTCATCACAGCAATAGGTAGAAATGCAAACGCATTTTTCTGGAGTATTCCTTGACTGTAACCAATAGGGTTGCACAGATACCAAGTACAGTACTCGGTACAAGTACGAGTACATGTACCGATACTTTTGAGCTCCAAGACTAACCTAGAGAAAAATTCCAAAGTTAGGAGGCAGCTGTCATTTGTAAGAAGCACTCTGAGCTCCTGGAATTTGTACATCTCTGTTTTAATGCATGATTTTGTTTTTATAAATATAAATAAAGGGATGCACAGATACCAGTTTGGCGAGTACAAGTACAGGTACTTGCCGAGTACTTACAAGTACGAGTACTGATACATTTTTGTTTATTGTCATGTGACAGTTTTTCTAAAACAATACAGACTAATGATTTTAGGACAGTGGTAGAGTGCCAGAGCCAGGTCCCAGCTGCAACCGCTGCAACCCTGATGGTTCTCATGAAAATGCCAAGTATCTTCCGGAGCATCTTCTTTCTGATCTGAAAGTGAGGAGTCCATAAAGGAAGCTATATTGCTCAACCTAGGAATGAGTGTGTCATCTGTCTGGCTGTGTAAGGGGGTAGAGGTGTGCACATCACAAGATTGAATGTACAAAATTACAAATCCTTTGTGAGGTAAAACCTGTATTTAAACTGTTTTAGCGGATTGCACGGAATTACACTTTAAATGTGATTCGTTTGAGATTATTTCACATTTCAGATACATAAATCAATGCATCATTATATCATTGTCAACGTATTTAATGTGCTTGCATGTAGAAGAGAAGAAACCAGAAATAAGTATGACATTTCATACAATGTAGAATATTTCTAATACAGCTGTGATAGTAATTTATATGCAAAAATATAGGAAACATTGCTTCCTGTCAGAGTGACAGCCAACACATGTTCATCACAGCAATAGGTAGAAATGCAAACGCATTTTTCTGGAGTATTCCTTGACTGTAACCAATAGGGTTGCACAGATACCAAGTACAGTACTCGGTACAAGTACGAGTACATGTACCGATACTTTTGAGCTCCAAGACTAACCTAGAGAAAAATTCCAAAGTTAGGAGGCAGCTGTCATTTGTAAGAAGCACTCTGAGCTCCTGGAATTTGTACATCTCTGTTTTAATGCATGATTTTGTTTTTATAAATATAAATAAAGGGATGCACAGATACCAGTTTGGCGAGTACAAGTACAGGTACTTGCCGAGTACTTACAAGTACGAGTACTGATACATTTTTGTTTATTGTCATGTGACAGTTTTTCTAAAACAATACAGACTAATGATTTTAGGACAGTGGTAGAGTGCCAGAGCCAGGTCCCAGCTGCAACCGCTGCAACCCTGATGGTTCTCATGAAAATGCCAAGTATCTGCACTGGTACTCAAAAAGTATCTGTGCATCCCTAGTAACCATGGTAAAAAGAGTGTAAGCCTAAACATCATGTATCAGTGGCTGTTAAAGTGAATTGCAGAGTATATGGAGCATTGAGGAAACCAGAATTTTTGTACTTGCTGTAAAATCCTTTTCTTGGTGTTCATCAAGGGGCACAGACTTAGTAGAATTCAGGAACATTGGGTTATACTGTCAGCTTCAGGAGGAATTGGACACTGGCAAACAACGAATGGCCAGCCAAATACAACCCCCTCCAATGATTCTTCATTTTTTTTTTTTTTAGAAAAGCAATATTAGGGGTAGGTCAAAAACGCAGAGGGTTGGGACCTACGGTGGGTACAAAAATCCTGTTTTCTTTAATCATTCTTGAAGAGACACAGGAGGGGTAGGATTCAGGAACATTCAGACATTCCAAAGCAGTCTGAGTGGAGGGCAACATAAACTTATCGCCCAGGAAAAAAAACGGCAATAAAAAATACACTGGAGATTGCCCGCTGCTTAAAGAGAATGCAGGACCTTACGTCCAAAGTCTACATTCACAGATGCCTGAACATCCACCTGGTAAAACTTAGAGAACATTCCACCAAAAGACCAGGTGGCGGCCTTGCAAATCTGGGAAACGGTTGCTGGATTCTGAAAAGCCCATGGCACATTTACAGATCTTGCAGAGTGTGCCATGATTAGAAAAGATACAACCCTATCCTTAAGCTGGTTGGCTTGAAAAATGACCTGCCTGACCTCTAACCACCTCCAACAATGGAGGTTTAGCTCCTTAGGATGTACTGGAGCAGCACAGAGAGATGGAAGGACAGTGTCCTGGTTAATGTGGAAAGTAGAGACCACTTTAGGAAGAAACTCAAAGCTCCAGTGTGTTCATATGGATACAAGCTTCTGCTGGCGACCATGTTCCTTGCAGTGTCAGTGTCGGGGTGCCCCCAGCCCATTGGGAGGATCTTCCAGGAAAATCTCAGAAACATAATTGCCCGATTCCAAAGCTAGGTTGGGGAGCCACCAGGCCAGAGACATCCTGGTCCTGGGTGTTGAGTATGTTGGTAGGTCCAGTGACCGTACCTTTTTGTCCCATGCAGACAGAATGTTAAGTTGCAACAGTCTGACAGGGAACTGTAAAAATGAGACTGCCTCAAAGGAAGCTACTGTCAGACCCAGAACTGTTATGCAGAAATAGGGTTGGAAGTCTCCTGGACTGTAGGGTCCAAATCTGGGAGCGAAAAGTTAGGAATTTCTCTTGTGGAAGGAAAACTCTGGACTGCGCTGTATCTAGAATCAGACCCAAATATTTCAAGCGATGAGTCTGTTCCGGTGCTGATTTCTGAAGTTTCAAGATCTGAACCTTTAGTAGAGTCTGAACAGTCCGGCTGACATTATATAATAAGGTCTGTGCTGACTCTTCTCTCAGTAGGAGATTGTCCAACATGGGGATACCCAGAGGCCAGATCGTCTCTTAAATGGAGCGATGCAATGACTGACCTGTTAGATTCCATGCAATAATGAGTGACTTGAGATCCTGGATAGTGTGGATGATGCCTTTTGGTTTTGGAATGGTGAATGGATTTGAGTAAAAACATTGAAACCCTAACTTTTGAGGAACAGCAATGACTACTTGACCTAGGAGGTCTGCTAAGGGAGCATGGAGATCTGTTAGTCTTTACAAAGAGGTTGGCAGATTGGACAGCAGGAAGCGAGGCAGAGATTGACACTCTAGCTTGTAGCCCCTGGAGACCACATCTTTTACCAAAGTGGAAATGCTGTTGGCCCAGGTGTCTGCAAATGCTGATAAATGGCCCCTCACTTTGAGGGAGACACCCCCTCATTGTGAGGAGGGCTTGTCAACAGGCTGGGAGGACTTGGGAGCTCAGAATTTATGACAGAACTGTGTTCCGGATTTGGGCCTGGATTTAGAGACTTGGCAGAAACAAAAGGAACTTGTCTTCATCGGCCGAGTGAGTTTGCCAGATGGAGGCTTGTATCTTCTCCTCATCAAAGGGCACATGGAGCGATTTTTCTTTTTATGTTGTTGCTCCACAGCCCAATATTTTAGCCAGAGATTAACCAATCAACACAGTAGTTTAATGCAACAGGCATGAGCTAAATGATCAGTAAGGATGGTTTGGGGGTCTTTTCATATTTCCATAAAACAGACTCCTGGGCTCTGACAAATTGCCATGGCAGCAATAGCGGGTTGCTAAGGAAAGCAGGGACTTGGACAGAATGTCCTCAACAGGAACAGGCAGAGTTTTATTTAGGCTAGCAATGGCTGGTCCCACAATGGGAGCAGGAACAAAACAGCCAGCTTGACAAAAATAGTGGAGTTAAAGCGGATCTAGACCCAAAAATGAAAATGGAATATATTGCATCTTGCCATTCCTTAGATGTGGTGGTTGCATTCGTTTTCACTTTTCAGGATAAGAACATTTTCAGCAAGTACAGAAAATACATGTTAATCGTGCCAGAAAGTCAGTGTCCTTGTCACGTCCTGTGAGCTGAAGAGAAAGGACAGACTACTTTATTGTGTATACTACTTTATTATTTTCTGTTGCATATTTTTTTAATGACAGAATTGAGAGTACAAGAATAGTAATGAAAGATTTGTTGCACAATCTTTTACTTGTGATTAACTCTTCTGTGCTGATTTGCAGGAGCTGTACATTGCCGTTGGCATCTCTGGAGCCATCCAGCACTTGGCTGGAATGAAGGATAGCAAGGTAAATGTGTTGTCTGCATGGCATTTTATTTTCATAATATGTGCTCTATATAGTTACATAATATGTGCTCTATATACATAGTATTTAAGGTTGAATAAAGACATAAGTCCATCACGTCCAACCTATTGCGTGTATGCATTTCTGTTTGAGTTGCTGTGTGAGTGTGTATTTGTTCATGTGTGATTTTTCTCTTAGCTCTACCCCTGAATGTTATGGTCTCCCAGGAACTCGTCCAGGAGTCTCATGAATGCTTCCACACTCTTAGCTGAGATCACTTCCTGCGGCAGCGAGTTCCAGACCTTAACCGCTCTAACTGTGAAGAACCCCTTTCGCCCTGTGTGTAGAAATTTTTTTTCCACCAATTTTTTGTTGTGCCCTCTGGTCTTTGTTACGGAGCTGACCGTAAATAGTTTGTTAATATGTTTCATTTCCTTTAGTGGCTTTCATTGCACTGCTGTGTATGTCTCCGCGCTGTGCAATAAAGTGCTGCATTAGATACAATGCTACAACGGCTATAATGAGGTCCCTGAATTTTGGCAACAATTTATTATTGGTACTGTATTGCTTTAATTAGGGATGCACCAATACTGGTATTGGTGGCGATGCCGAGTATTTGGGCAAGTACTCGTACTCGCTCTGATGCCTAGCCCGATACCTGACCTTCGGGTTTTAGGAAATCGGGCAGCGAGTCATTACATGCGGCCCAGCTTTCTGATTGGCGGGGCAGCCAGCTCCATGCTCCCTCGTGACTTGGTCACGAGGGAGCATGGAGCCGGCTCCCCGGCCAATCGGGAAGCTGGGCAGAGTGTAATCACGCGTTGCCTAGCTTCCCGAGTATTCGGGAAGCCGGCCAATCAGGAAGCCAGATGGCGAGTCATTCCCCCCACCCCCCTGGCTTTTTGATTGGCCAGAAAGCCGGCTTCATGCTGGGCGCCGTGTAATGACTCGTTGCCTGGCTTCTTGATTGGCCAATCAGAAAGCTGGGCAAGGAGTCATTGCACAGCGCCCAGCTTCCTGATTTGCCAGAAAGCCGGCTCCATGCTCCCTCGTGATGAGGGAGCATGGAGACGGCTTCCATGCTATTCCGGAAGCCGGGTGGCGAGTCATTACACGCCGCCTGGCTTCCTTAATGGGACTTCCGGTATCTGAAAAACAATATCAGTACTTGTACTCGATACCAGAAACCCCGGTATTGGTGCATCCCTAGCTTTTATAGATAAAATACTCTATAATGTACGGCATGTGTTATTTGCTATAATGATCATTACTTTTACCAGTTTTATTCAACTCCATATATTCCATTTGCTGTCATTGTTTTAGATAACTGCTATAGTAAATAACTTGCAGCTTAGTGAATTGAGCCTAATAGCATTCAAGTCAAAATGCCATAATGAATACACTTTGCAAATCACATTTTACCATCTGATGTATTCAGTGAAGATGTGCAAAGTACAGAAACCCAGAAAAACCAATTAGATTCTTTTACCGGCACTCTACCGATTTTCTGAATTACTACTGTGATTTTTATACCTTGTCATTTACAACTTCCATTAAATGTACTCCAGGTATGCATGAGTTTGCACACTTACACTGGTCCAGCTTGGCCCAGTGTAAGTATGCATATGCCATACCTGATCAGCTGCTGGGGATCCTGTAAAAGCACTGTACTGCCCATGATCTTCGGGGTTCTGTAATAGCGCTGTATTGAACGGCTTCCCATCTGCTCTGAAAACACAAGGGGTCACTCTTTAGGCACATTGGCTATTCAGAGAAGGCCTAGTATGCGTGTTAATTAATACACGTTGTTCTCTGATTGGACAGGGGACAGTAATGTTCTTATCCATCCCCCAGCCAATCAGAGAAAGCCTTGTATTCATTGATGACAATACTAGGCATTTTCTGAATGACCACTGTGCCTAACAAGTGACCTCCGGCAACACAGAGCCATACAGGACCGGAAGCTTGTCATCAGCACTGTAGCTGCTTTGCATACTACAGTACTTTCCAGGATCCCCGTAGACCGATCAGGTATGACGTATACATACTTACACTGGGCCAAGCTGGACTAATGTGAGTATGCATCATTTATACCGGTGTTCAGCTTTAAGGTATATCACCCGAAACCTTTTTCTAGTTTTGGATACAGTGGGGAATAGCCATACCCTGTCGGGTTTTTATTGCTGTCTGAATTCTAGTTGTGAACATTCACCCTTTTATATTTGTCCTTTTCACAGTTGCCATTGGGGCACAAAGTAGACTGAAAGCCACATTTTTACAGTTGTCATGGAACAGGAGGAAAAGTGAAATCTTCTTCAATAGGGACATCTGTTTGGCAACAACTGTTACAAGTGGGACTCTGCTCACTTTCTGCTCACTTCCTGTTTTGTCTCCAGAACATGAAGTGAAGGGAAATATCTCCAGTGGGGACACAGCAATAAGAACACAACAGAGGTTCTAACCCTTCCCCATGCTATCCATGTAAAAAATAAATGGAACACAATACATAAACAGAAGTTTTGGCTGAAAGTCCACTTTAATGGATAGCACAGTTTGTGTTCAAGTAACTTAGATGTTGTTGTGTTTTCAATCTCTAGACAATTGTTGCCATAAACAAGGATCCAGAAGCTCCAATTTTCCAGGTGTCGGATTATGGTTTAGTAGCAGATTTATTTAAGGTAAATAGTCTTTTTTTGGGTCAACTTTACATTTTATTGCAGAAATACAAGGCTACCTTGCATAACTTCTGCTTATGAAATTTGAAGAGCATACTCTGGTAGTATTATAGGCCTGTAAACACAGGGGAGTGGTATGTATGTATTTTACATAGAAAAACACATGGTATGTACTTCTGTCATCATGAACCTGCATGTTGTGTCATAATTGATCTGTTCCTTGTTCAAAACCAGACATTTCCCAGGTCATATACAGCATGTATCCAGCAAAGGATAGCAAGCAGCACATTTCCCATACATTTTGGGTAAACTGGCCATTGTGAATATCTTAAGTACTTGCATGCAACTTCTAAATGTTCAATTGGGATATACAGTACTGTGCAAAGGTTTTAGGCAGGTGTGAAAAAATGCTGTCAAGTAAGAATGCGTCCACAAATATATAATTTTATTGTTTTATGTTTATCAATTTACAAAATGCAAAGTGAGTGAACAGAAGACAAAACTAAATCACATCAATATTTGGTGTGACCACCCTTTGCCTTCAAACCAGCATCAGTTCTTGGGGTGATGTGTATCCCGGCAGATTCTGGAATTGTACATTGAGCTGCACAGCTCCATGTACATTGTAAAGAGGATTGTGAGGAGGAAGGTAAGAAGCCTTTGTTGTAGAAGAAACGCAAAGTATGTCTCTTCTGTGATTTAAAAAAAAAACAAAAACAAAAAAACTTCCTGCTCACAATTTTTAGTTTCAGATCATGGTTCTGCTTTAAGCTGAATAAGTTACACCAAATATGGGGGCAATCTACATTATTTGATACATATCCCTGCATGGTTACTATCATTTGACTGAATATTTAAATTCCTAGTTGACACTGGTTCTCTAAGGCACGTTGTCTTCTATAATATCATATGTAAGTGGATAGAAAACTGCTTTCAAAGTTCATGAAAAGAAAGTTATCAGTGATTGATACCATGAGTTGTCTAAAGGTATTTATAATGTACTTCAAGACTTTGCCTTGGGACCAACTCTCTTTTATTTTTGGTTTAAATGATAAGTTTTGGATAAAATATTTTGGTCTTTTTAAAATGACACAAACGTCAGTAATAGTAACTGTGCAAGCTCCCAAGCAGACCACAATACTTTGGAAGACTGGGCCAACACAGAGACCAATTCTTCATTCTAGAACAGTGGGCAGGGCCATGCAAATTCTTCCTATTTGCCCCTGGGCCAATAGAGCGCCTAGAGCGGCTGAATTCTATACACTGCACTGATGATGGCCAACAAGCTTTCAACAGTTGTATACAGTTCTGAATAAATGTCTCTATGATATTGGTCTTTGTTTTTGGATTTGTGATAGTGTACAAATACTTTGTTTTAAGGAGATTCCTCTGTGCATTGGAGAACAAAGTCTTTGGTTGCCTTTGACCTAGCTCACCTTAACTTTACAGGTTATACTGTCTTGTAGGTCCCCAAACTGTACTATATAGAAGCCATGCATTGTGTCCAACAAGCCCGAAACAGTTGCATGCACTTTGTAATAACTTGCATTATAAATGATTGTTATGGCTTTGCGCATTACCCTAGAATGAAGAATAAACCCTTCAATTTGTTTTCATGAAAGTAAGACATACCGATATCTTCTATTTAAAAAAAAAGGCTGTACTTTGTTTTCATATAAATACACAAAAATTATATGTATATCCTGTTTTCAGAAAGGATCAGAGCTCCATGTTGTCTTATGTGTCCAGTCCCTGGTCTGTTGGGAAAAGCAGGAGGCAGTGCCAGTTTTTAATGCTGTTTCTGAACTGACGCCTGCTGGCCGGATCTAAGACACAGCCACTTACAATGTACACCATGTAGACAATTTCCCCAATAAATGTTGTAGGAGCATATTAATTCCACCTGATGGAAACACAGTGTAAATAATTCAGACATTATTTTCTACAGAGGATCTTGAGTGGGAACAGCGGGACACCTCAAGTCCCACAGCTATTTACACAATAAACAGAAACAATCCAATAACTTCATTCTCAGTGTATCGGAAGAGGTTTCACGTCCAGCTGTTTTCTACGTGAATTTATTTTCAGCAGCTTTATTGGATACAAGATTATCCAAAGTATTGCTCTATAGCTAATATTTCATTGCTTCATTTCAGAATTGGTGCAGGATGTCTTGTTCCTCCTCACCTGAGTTTTATTACATCTAGTAATGTGGTGGGCAACCTGCTACATTACTAGGTCATTGTAGATGTGGCCTGAACTCCAACAAAGGGTCACCATAACATTTGTTCCCCTAAATAAAAAGATGTATATCCGTCATATGAACAGCTACCCAGGTATTCAAATTTACTTACAGGATTATTCACAAAAGGGTGAAGAGTTTGGAGAAGGCAGGAGAAGTGAACAATCTAGGACAACAGAGCTGGACTGGAAAGTGAGATGAATTGGAGGATTTTTCCACATCAGCCATGTTGTCCTAGATTGTTCACTTCTCCTGCCTCCTCCAAACTCTTCACCCGCTTGTGACTAACCCTGTTGGACTTTTTTCCCCCAATTGCTCTATACCCTCAGACAGAGCTGGCAGAAAACGTGTGCCGTTATTGCCCAATATTCCGTTATATACAAGGACTAGGCGGTTTAATTTTCACCAGTATGTTCTCGTCGTCTTAATGTTGAATTAAATCCCAATAATGTCTGCACAGTGACTTCAGTTCTATTTTTCTTTTCTGTTGTAGGCGGTGCCAGAAATGACAGAACTACTTAAGAAGAAATAAGGAAATTACACTTGTCAAAGAATAAAAACTGCTGCTTTTAAAAACAATTCATTGTAATTACAGCCACGTACATTACAGGATACGGTATGCCAAGCCTGATAATAAATATACTTTTTTACTAATGGTGTTTAAATGGTTTAGGAATAACAGAACTTTAATAAAAGCTACCTGTAAAAGTCACACAGTGTAATTGTAGTCTGACTTTGTCCGTTTTAAATGGTTCTCCTGCTGAGTTGATCATGTAAAGATTTTAACCATTGCGCACCCCTTGTGGACTAGGGCAATTTTTACATTTCTGCTATGGGCCTGGTTATTCACCAACAACTGGGCCCCCCCCCCCCCAAAAAAAAGTATAAGTGACTTTATCTCAAGTAATGACAAACACACAAGGCTTTCTTTTGGTTTTGCAGAAATTATTTTATTTTTATGCGATCCATAGGCAAAAAACCCCAAAACAAATATGCACTTTTTTCTATTTTGATCACTGTTGGTTTAAAGATATATTTACAAATTTAAATGATTTTTTTAGTGTTCACTTTAAAAAAAAAAGCCTTTAACAAAATTAATATAAAAATAAACACATAATTTTAATGGTTAGAAATTAGGGCTGCGGAAATTAACGATTAAATTCCTCGATTTAATCGTTAACATTTTTGATTGATTTTAAAATGCTTTTGATCGCTAATGATAACACTCACCTCTCCGCCGGCTTCCGGGAGTCCCGACTGAGATCTGGTGACGTCACGGACATCGACGTCCAACAGACTCCTCCCCCCTTCCCAAAGTGGCTCCGTCGGCTAAC